TGCTCGCGGTGACTGGCGAGGCCCCTGGGGAGCGGGGCTTGCTCTGAGCAGTGCTCTTAGCCGCCTTTTACCTCGTGTGAAGTCGCCGAGCCTGCCCTGGAGCGTGGCGCGGGCTGGCGGCACCGGTGGTGCTCGCCCCGGGGGTCTCCGTTGCCTCAGCCGTGCAAAATCGCAGGGGAAAATCAACGACCAGGAGGAAATAGTGATAAAACCCCCCAGTGCGAGCTTCCTGACGTGCAGTCAGGGGGAGAGGGAGAAGCGTGACTCGTGGGAGCAGGGGTCTCCGTTGCCTCAGCCGTGCAAAATCGCAGGGGAAAATCAACGACCAGGAGGAAATAGTGATAAAACCCCCCAGTGCGAGCTTCCTGACGTGCAGTCAGGGGGAGAGGGAGAAGCGTGACTCGTGGGAGCAGTGGTCCCTGCCAGCAATGGAGAGTTACTTCATAGGATGAAGACTTTTTAGTAGATTTTGCTCGTAGATATAAATGTCTTAAATTGGCAAGGGTTTTGTTTGGGTTTTTTTTTAGAAGAGAGGAGGTGCTGTAGTAAATGCTTTCGTGGTTCTGCTTATGCAGCCTTCAGTAATGGAATTTGCAGACAACATTCTGCACCTGAAAACTAGTTTGTATGTTTTTCTCCCACCCTGATTTAATGTGTGGTAAGATCTGTTGCCAAAGATGGAAAGAAAAAAAATTGAAGAGTTGACTGGAATAACTAAATACTACATGTTTTATGGACAGCAATCATTTCTGAAAATGAAACCAAAAATGAAGACACTTAGTTGTATTTTTTTCTGTTTTGTTCTCACCTTTTTGGTAAGAAGAAAAAAGATTTTTATGGAAGAGGAGATGAGGAAAAAAAAATTATTGTGGGCGAAACTGATAATTAGCACTGTGAAAAAGGCAGGTAACAGTCAAATCTTTCAAACCATGGAAAAAGAAGGTTTCTCAAATATTTCAGATCTTGACACCATGTAGACTAAATAGTAATTCTGGAGTTTTTAGGAGTCAGCATTTTCTGCATGGAAAACCTCAGTCCTTCAGTGAGAAATTCAGACTGGGACTAGCCTTGTGCAGATTTGTGCAAATCGGAGCTTAAATCTTGTTAGGAGCCTCATCTTTGGGAGCTCAGTTTGAATTCTGTGGCTCAAAAGGCAAGGTGGCACCTCTTTTGGTATAAAGCTTCGTCATGTAGTTATTTTTAGTACCTTTAATCTTTTTTTTTTCCTATGACAACAAAGTGATACAGTTTTATGAGGAGAGAAAACATTTCATTACTTAGAATAATGCCTAAGGTGACATGATGGCTAGTAGTTCAATTGCATGGCGAACCTACCCATGTGTAGCCCTTGCCACGACCTATCCGACTTTTCCAACAATTTTGATTAGATGGCAAGATAATGAAAAGAGCACTGATTTTGCACTTTGCCAAACGTTACTGCTATACAATAAAGTATTTTTCCAGAATAATGTAAATGGAACAGGTTGGGACAGAGAAATGCGTGTCATTACCGTGCTTGTTTCAGATAAAGGAGGCAGCTAATGTTAACATTATCAAATTTAACCATGTCCTTTTTTCAGTGGCGGTAACAGCACCGTCTACACTTACTGCCCTACCTGATTTTAGCCCTTAAAGGTAAAAGGGCTATTCCTAAAATATAGGTAGAAGAACCTCTTTTCCTAATGGCTGTAATTATTTTTAATGTATATTTTTTTTACCTTCAATGTATTTTTAGTGGGTGTGACGGTAACTTCCTATTGATTTGAACATTACATTAATATTACTAAAGCTGCTTACTAATTACATACTCATATTTTATTGGTCAGTGTTGAATAGGCTAAACTTTAACGGGAAGTAACACAAGGATACCAGGTTCATGCACTTGTCAAGAGTTGTCACTTGTTTAATGACAGTTTCAAAAAACAAAAAATGTGACAAACTCAGGGTGAGGCAGTAGAATCATAGTAATGTAGTTAGTACAAAGTTGTATTGAACTTAGGTGTTTGTTTTATCGTAAACTTATACCCTCAGAACCTGTACTAGAGCAAGAAAAAGGAATTGCAGTCTGAAATTTTTCATGCAAGACTTCAAGAAGTATGTAAGAGCAATCTGAGATTTTTTTTTTTTTTTTCTTATCTGTATGCTGCATGTGGTGCTGAAGAGAGTTGTACCGGTAAAGAATTGGTTGAAAATCCTGTTTTCCTTTACTTGCATGGTCAGTTTTCTTCTGTTGTAGGTATGGATATTTCTGTCGGGGTATGGAGAGAAGTTTGTTTTAAAAATAGGAAAGCGTGGCTGTGAACAACAGAAAATGGCAAGGGTCACAGAGGCAGGTGCAGTACCAGGGGCTAATTTTAACCCTTTTTGACTGAATAGATGTTGATGGGAGGAGTCTCTTTAAGTTTCTTAGTTTTTGCAACCTTATACTTAAATTTTCACAATTATTTTTAGACTCGTGTATGAACTTCCTTTTTATTTCAATAATCTAAATACAGCCTTTTTTCTGAGTAATGCTGTTTCTATACATTCTATGTTTTGTGTTTGTGTGTGTTACTGCAGGTTTTACCACTATTCTGCATCGTTAGAAGGGTATTTTGGTCAGTTTGTAACACACTGTTAGTCTTTAAATCAAACACAGTTGATCACACTTAATTTGTGCTCGTCTGAAAACATGCACTTTCTTTCTTTTTTAGAGACTTAGCTTAGAAAGTGAAGACTCTAAAAGAGCATAATCTTAAATAGAGTTAGTAGAGATTTATTTTTACCTTCAATCTACTTGAAACAAAAACATTGCTAAATAGTACTACATTTTCTAGGCTTATTGCAATGAAAAATATATCCTCTGCTTGAAAAAACACACAATCTCTCAATTTTAAAAAAGTGTTAGACTTTGTGAGTATTCTTTTTCTTCTACCTGCAAAATTTCTTTGTTAAGCACAGCAGTAGAAGAATTCTGAAGACATGCGTTGAGCAGAAACCATGGCCAGCCCTCAGTGTAAACATTATGTGGCCCCATAGCCCTGTTAGTGGTGGAGATGATCTGAACTGCATATGGAAATTATTGGTTGTAATCACGTGTAGTCATAATTGTTACTAGTACAAATTTACAGGTAAAATAAAGACATAATATGCATTACACTGCACTAAAGGCTGTGTAAATTCAAGGCTGTTTGATATCACATGCTTTAGTCTTTTAGAACATCAGCATAGTGATCGTCTGTAAGTTTTCTGTGTTTATGCATTTTTTTTTATATTGTTCACATTGCAAACCATTTATGTGTTACCAAATAGATACAAAGATGCCAGAGATGTGAATTTAAAAACTAACGTGTTACATTTGGAAGACAAACCTAACCCACATACTTAGTATTTTCATTTGACAGATGTTTTCCAGATTGCAAAATTATTGACTACATGTGATTGTTCTGAAATAGTCTCAAACTGTTAATATAAAGAGGAATGCTGCATTATGCATGTTCTCACAGATATGTGGATAGCATAAGACTGTCGAGGTCATGAGTTTTGAAACAGTCAAGAAAATCTGCAGGTTTGTGTATACTCAGTGTTACTGTGCATGAGGGATTGTACTACACGTTGTGATTTAGTTTTTTTCCCTATTCTACAGTTAGGTGATATATTGTAAGGCTTTTAGATGTATAATTATGTGTCTCCATTTTTGGCAGTATGATGAGCATGGTAAGAACACTGAATATACTTTAATAAAATTGTAATCTCTGAAGAAGCAAAAGTGGAGTGGTAGGGATTATGAATTTAACCTGATCTTCACAGTGGCATGACTGGTGTAGTTGTTTGGAAGTTAAAACCTGCTTGGTATGGGTTTGTGCCTAGAGTCCTTGACTAGCATTGAACATTGTTTGCGTCTTCACCTGACTGCATGCATCGGAGTGTTTCACTAGCAGAACCAAACCTCACACATTACATGTCTGCACACTTTGAGTCAGAGTTCAAAATCAGAAGTATAACTTCTTGAAAATCCACTGTAATCAGCTAAATAAGCATTGTGAAGCTTAGTTAGCTAATAGCTACATTTGCACAGTTTTCCTATTGTTTTCTTTATTCTGGCATTGTGTATTGTAGACTTACTATTTTTTTTTTTCTTCTAGTCACATATTTAAGATGAAACAAAGGCAGAATAATTTCAGTTTGTCAAACTCTGTCCCCTCCTCCTGGTTTGGAACAAACTACTTTGAATGGGATTATGAGGATTGCAAATTGGGACCTTGCCGTGTAGGACAGTAAGAGGCGGAGACTTACTGTGTGGTGTTTGATTTTCAGTATCTGGAGGAACTTGCTCATGCAGAGTTTTGATAACTGGCTTTCACTCTTTGCGTATATTGCTTGTATGTTCTTTGAGAGGAAAAGCAGAACAAAATGACTTTAATTCCATAGAGGTCACAGAGGTTTTTGAAGGATATTTTGAACTTAGCTCAGGATAAAGAAATGATAGAGGTGATGTAGGTTAATTAAACAATAGATTTTACATGTATTCGCGGGAGTTTATAAAGCAAAGTATTATACTATTTGTTGTTGAAATGACTGAGAAGTTAAAGATTGTTTTGTGTAGTGGCTTGTCTAGTAACAAACTAGGTTTTATAGGTGTTAATCAGGAAGATCTATGCAGGTAGTTATATTCTAAGGGATTTATTGTAACAATTGTTCTCTGTTCACCTGACTTAGTACTTCTTCTGTAGTAAGGTTGTTTGACAGTGAGAAGATATTCCTGCTCTTTCTCGTTTTCAGTTCTTTTCTTGTGCTATGATGATATGGTATCGTGGTAGTTGACCTAGTATGAACGTTTATTTTTTTACTGGGTTGCAGTGCGAACTCCATCATACACCTAATCCAACCAACCAAAAAAAAAAAAAAAAGTTAAAAGATCTTAACCTAGATCAGTTCCAGGCTTCCAATATGGCCCCACAGGTGTTTGTGCTAAGAAGCTAGGGGCAAGCTGTGCTCATTGTGCACAATTATACTGTATTTGGTACTGCTGCAGTGTATCTTATATTGTGAACCCAAGATCTTACTAAAATAAGACTCTGGATGACACTGCAATCAGTATTCTTCCATGTTGGAGAAAGGCTACTTGAAACCTCAAAACACAGACTTACGTTGCATCATTTTACTTAGAGGAGATATGTTGATAAATTTAATAGAATAATTGGCATGGGAAGAAAATTTTCAGGGCCCTGGTGTTGGCCCAAATGTATTTTTCTTAAGAAACTATTTATTTTAAAAAGATATAATTTTGTTGAATTTCAGGTTCACAGAACAATGACACTAAAAGACAGTTTCTTCTAGAACGGCTACTGGATGCAGTTAAACAGGTGAGAAATCTGGTACATATTTCTACAGTGCTCTTACTCTGAGTTGTCGGTACTAGCAGGAACTTTCATTGCCCTTTTTCCTTCTCTTTACCAGACAAAGAAGTAGTCTTGTCTTTCACACAGTACTACCGAGTTTTTGTGTCTGCCAGCAATCAACTATGATGCAGTATTTGTTTAAAATTATTGTCCTTGACAGATTGTATTTGTAATATTTTTATATAAGTGTAATATAGAATATATTTTAAATATATGTATATTTGTGTTACTTGTGTGACTGAACTAAACTAGTGTACTGCAAAGGCTAAATTGGTTAACATTTTACAGTAGGTTTTTATCTTTACACTAAGATTTTAGTGAATGGTTAAAATACAGGTGAAGGTTTATGTATGTATGTAGCTTGCATCAATAAGAAGTTCAGCAAGTAGAATTTCAAAAACTGAATTAAATTTTGGAGAGCTTGGGAGGCAAAAGAATGCATAGAAAGTAAGCCAATAATAAGTTTTATAAGACAGAATTCTTCAGTAATTGTAGCACTGAGCTGAATAGGAGCAATGTTTGGTTTTGTGAGTGTACATTTAAAAGTCAAAAGTAATAATATTTACTCAATTTTAAATTTATTGAAGGACCTGCGGTGTGTTGTTCTGGCTAGCAAGGAGATACTTGAACTGTAAGAGTAGCCCATTGGTGGAACATGATGCTGTAAAGCACTTTTTACTTGCAGACTGTATTTGCCAGTGCTTTATGTTGTACTGCTTCCTTTTTTGTTATGACTTTGTTTCTTATATGGAAATATTTCAGAATATTAAGTTTGGTAGTCTAACAAAAATTTCTTAAAATCCGTTTATTGCAGTGTCAAATACGGTTTGGAGGAAGAAAAGAAATTGCTTCAGACTCTGATAGCAGGTAAAACAGTCAAAGAAACTTTTAACATGCTTAGAGTATGTATCATAATAACGTAAAACATACAGCACAAAGTACTTGATATGCTCAAAAAAAATCCAGTTCCTTCTGTTCACACAAACACTGACTTGGGACTCTGAATTTTTCGTCTTGTTACAAATTTGACAGCTTAACAAAGAGTGTTCTTCTGTATGAAGTTACAAGTGTTTAACTGGCTGCAAAGTTCATGACAAAGCATTGAGGTCTGAACGCGAAATCGGAAGAACTTATCTTCCCTAAGACCTCTTTTGAAATGAATGCATCTTTATTCCCAATGTGCCTGTGTTTTGTGAACCTTGACACTTAATTGTCAAGTGTGTTTGACACATGCTTGTTAAGAAAATTTTCATTCTTATTTTTTCTTATTCCTGACACATTTTAAACATGTTTTTCTTCTTTTTTTTGTACAAGCAGTTTTTCTTTTTTGTTAATGTAAGTCAAAAAAATGTCACTTAATTCCTATTAGTTGTGTTTCTTGTTGGATATGGCATACTGGCTTCTAAGGCTTTTAAGATGATGACTGGAGGAAAGAAATAGCAGTGCTTTTTGTATCCTATTGAGTTTTTCTCAGAATCTGTCATATTGAAGAATCTCGGATACATGAAACACCAGGATTAAATGCAATTGTTTGTTGTCCTTTTTCTTATGTCCTTGAAATCTGACTGTCTTTTGGGAAGAAGTTAATTATCTGTTGACGATTTATAAATGATGCATAAAATTCTCTCCAATCTCCTCTCAATTCAGTCTCTAATAACGCATCTAAGAATGTGGTTTCATGACTTCTGGGAAGCCAATGTAAACAATTCATTGCTACTGAAGGAGTGGGGAGGGTTCATGTATCCCCTGAAGGTCCCTGACTTCAGTACTACTCCCTTCCACCACCTTTTTAACCAATGCCTGCTGATCATCCAGCCCCCTCTGAATTAATTTAATAAAAGAAGAAGTAATGCGAAAGGATAACTTTCTGCCATTTCAGTGAGTTAAATCAGTAAAACATCTGGTGAATGCTAGAGCTGCTGCAAGAAGGGGAGGATCACGCAGCTAGAAGCAATGGGAATTGCAGGAGAGGAGGAAGAAGCGGCAAGGGGTGAGAGGGCAGACTCATTTCCTTCCAGGAGCAGCTTGTGACGCAGCTCCTGTGCACTGCCTGCGTGTGAAACTCCAGGCTAATGCTGCTCCACGGCGCCTTGAGCCTGTCTGACTTTTGGCTGCTACCGTCATCCTGTCCTGCCCTTGGCTGCCTCAGCCTACAGAGTTCTGGGGAAACAGCCTTAGAGAAATAGTGTTCTGTTGAACTAGCGTGGTGGGAACAGTTTGGTACGTGGTCTGTTCAGCACAGGGTTTGTTGGGCAGAAGCTGGTGTGAGGGAGGAAGCAAGAAGGTGCAGGTGGGATAAAGGGATGGTGGGGCTGAAGCACCAAGTGATTGCACTGGCTGTGCAGCTATAGCCGTGGGCACAGAATCATCAGCTGGAGACGGTTATTTAATCTCTGCTGTTTAGTTCTTAATCTTTACTGTTTAGTTTATGTGAGACAATGTTTTGACGATGTTTGCCTTTGTAGTAGATTGGGTAAAACTTGGCTAGAAGGAAGTACTTACATAGAGCCAATTCTCTGGATCCAAAACTTCTGCTTTGCTCAGTTTGCTTGAACAGCTGCTTTGTTGCAGTTATTTAATAATTTGAATGATGACCTTTTGTTTTGGTTTCGGCTGTGCAAATTCAGTGCTATAGCAATGCAAAAGACTGACAGAACCATTGTGTATTTAGATATTTGATGAACTGACTTGTATGTAGCCTTTATTTGGCTTTTTTCTTTGACTACACTTTTGTATTAACCAAAGTTGAATGCTTCCACTAAGAAGTAATGCAACTAACTTCAGCAACCTGGAGTCAGGAGAGTGTATTCCAAGTGTTGCCATACATCACGTTAGTCCAGAGACCACCACTACTGTTTTGTATTCTGGTATAAGTCAGATAACTACAATTAATGACTAAACCCGTGGTATAAGTCTGCTGTGTTTGAAGACAGCTGTTAGATTATTTCTCTCAATTCTTCTGCTGTGCCAGTGGATGCCAGCAAGTTCCAAACATAAATGCTTTTTAATGCTTTGTATGGCACTGGACACATTTTATAGAGCTGAGTTGGAGATATGCTATATTGTGCTTAATAAACTATTCTGTAAAATATCCATGATTCAGCTGCTTGTATGGAAAAATGTGTGCTTAGCTTTGAGAAAATATTAACTCTTATAGCTCTCTATGTCAGGCTATTGCTTTTAAAACTTGGATTTTTGCTTAAGGTGTGTGTATATGCTTTTTAAAGTATTTGTCCCGTATATTTACTGGCAAAGTGGTATGTGACAAGACAATGACAAACTTGTGCCTTTTTCAATTAGATGTTAACCTTTCTCCCAACAAGCCAGAAGCTTGAGTTCTTGTGGACAGTCCCATGACAGAGGGAAATAGATGGAGTGTAATTCTAGCAAAAACTTGTTTTGTTCATTTACAAATTGTACTGAAAGTTTTTGTGTGTGTGGTTTTTTTTTTTTCTCTTCAGTGCACAGAAAGCAATAGAGACTGTTTTTCAGTAGTACTCAATAACGTTTCAAAAGGGTTTTCTCAGGCCCATGTCCCAGGAGCTTTTTTTACTTTCTTGTCACACATTCTTCTGGTTTTGTGTTGTTTTCTCGCTGATTGTTGTATCTCTCAGCTTCCACTCCTGACACATGCACATACACGCTAAGGAAGTAGTTCCTAGACCAGTTTTAGAGGGAGAAGTTCTGGTACAGGCTGTCCTCTCTTGTGAAATCTTGCAGTTTGGGATCTTTGTTGCACCCATTTATTCTGCAATATCTATAGCTGAAAATGCTGTGTATTAGCCTTCAGGATCTATGTTAGAAGTGAAAGATGTGGGATTTTAAGATGTTAGATGGGCCCCAATGCTAGTTTGTGAAGAGATGCTAAACTAAGCAAAGCTGGTTCTCTTGTGGCATTTCAATTCCATGCTTAAATTTGCAGCTGAACTGAATGAATTCAGTTGCTGGGCTCCTGAAGAATCAAAATCCCACAAGCAGGCACACAGGCAGGCTTTCTGATGACAGCCTCTAAAACCAGCAGCTGTCCAGGGGTTAGCAGATTGGTTATACTTAATGTGAACCATGGCAGGACATGTGCTAACAGAAGATGTACGGCATACCTAGCACCTATTGCTCGAGGGTAGAAACAGACCAACTAGAGTAGAATGACTGGGATAGAAGAGTTACACAGCCAAATGTGAGTTAAAGGGAGAATTTAGCCATGCAACTGTTGGGTGTAGGAAGGGAGATGTTGTGTGATCTAGGAGAAAATGGGAATGTGAAACTTACGCTTCTGTTCTGCATTGGCAGAAGAGCAGAGAAATGTTGTGAAGTAGTAAGGAAAAGTCAGAAATAATGGTGGTTTCATGGCATTTTTAGGAGGTGTAGGGTTGCTTTTCTGACTTTAGCTTTTGTATAGTTTTCACCCTCACACCCTTGTGCTGTCTTACCTGAGTGCAGAACATTATCGTCATGGTTTTCATCTCAAAAAGCTCAGAATTGGAAAAATGCAGTAATCCTTACTTTACAGAGAAGGGAATAGAGGCAAGCAGATTAAATATGAGTTGGCTTTGTAAAATACTCTGGTAACAGAAACCTGTGGCTGACAGAACTGAATCCAAGTCTCGCTAATAAGAGCACTAACCATGGGACTATGGCATCAAATTCGCCATTTCTGACAATTCCACTCGTAATTTTTTTCCTAATTGCAGTTTGTTAGTATTTTAAGGTGGCTTTCTAATTAGTAGTTCAGGGAAATTAATGTAGTACTGTAATTTGTCTGAGCTCAAACCCCTTTACTCCGATTTGTGTTTTACTCCAGTCTATGCACTAGTAAAAAAACCCTGAAATTAGGTACACTCTCCTTTTTTGTTGTTTTTCAGTAGAGTTACCAGGACTACTTTTCTGGGAAGAGGGAAAACAGGTGAGCTGCTGTATTTCCTTTGGAAGCCAAGCACTGCATTCAGATATTTTGCACAGTGGTTTTGGGGTGGGGGTGGTGGGTTGTTTTTTTGTTTGTTTGGTTGGTTGGTTGGTTGGTTTTTGTAGCTCATTGCTACAAACAGTTGGGGTCAGCAAGAGCATCTTTGCATGCTGCCTGTGAGTGAATTGCTCATATCTGTGCCATCCTGTAGTAGCTGGAGGAAGGAAATTATTTTGATCCTTTTCTCTGTTGTAGAAGTTATTCCATAGAAGTGTCAGAGATATAAAAATGTGCTGAAGGCAATGAGCTGAAGTTAATCCAACGTCAGGCAACGCGTCAACTGTTGAATCAGGCTGTCAGGCTACTCTTTTGGTCTGTGAAAGGTTGAGGGCCTTTGAAGTCCTATGTGTGTGAGAGAAACTTGCCTTTAAGCTAGGGATATTGCAGATCAAATACCAGTTTTAAATCTAGGGGAGTCACCTTCTTAATGGCACATGTAAGCTTGTTCTTAAATATCCAGGAAGCTAAAGCTGGCTTTTACTTGCAGCTGGATCTCCTAATCTGTACAGATGATAAAACTCTTTTCTGAGATTACTTGAATGAACTCTAGGTAGCTCCCATTTTCTGTACTTGCAAGAAATTTTCTTGAGCTGGCTTGCAATCCTATAAATGAAGCAGTCTTCGCTGTTGCTGTTTTGAATCCCAACACTCTTGTGTTTGCAGCAGTCCCCTGATCTGGCATTGTGCTTGAGCGGTCGCTGTTGACAGGCGGCCTCAGAGGTGATGAGCTGTATTGCGGAGTAGCTTCTTGAGAGCTGGGCTGGTGATCCCAAGGGTAAGTGGTATATAACATGGTAGGAGGGAACTGCTCTTCAATGAAACAAAGTGGGCTTTAAAATGCTTGTTTTGTCATTGAAGGGGTAAACATCTTCCAGTAAAAGATACCATGGTTTGTGGTCATTTA